TTTTTTTTTTTTTGTCTCAAAATTGTTGAACATTATTATCTTTTATTTTTACTAGTCAAGTGCACGTGCGATGCACGTGGTGTCGAATGATTTTCGCGGAGTAAGTTTGTAAAATAAATTAGTTTATTTATTAAACATCTCATTGCATAAATGAAGTAAAATATAGAAAAAAATAAACTCATATGTGATTTTTTTTTTGTTATTTAGAATTAACATAATGATGTCCTCATATAAAAATTGTGAAATAACGTTTTAAAAACCTAAACAAAAATATATATAGAAAAATAAATTCCTAATAAAAAAAACACAAAGATTTTGCTTATGTTGAATTGAGAAAAGTTATGTTTTTTAATTATATATAGGGAGGACATAATATTTCTTATATTTTTTTATGTAGTATTTATTGAGTAATTGTGTTTACAATTTTTCTATTAAAAATATATTAAACACGTGAACTTTTTAGTTCCTATAATTTTTTTTTTTTTTTTTTTTTTTTTTTTTTTTTTTTTTTTTCAGAAATCACTCATTATTTTATCCCAAAATTACCTATTAATTTACCAATTGAGTTACATTTCTTACATATTAAATATTATATAATTAAAATATTTCTTGTTTTATCTGTTCAATATGATATTTATATATTATATTAAAAAAACTAATATAGTAAATAAAAAAGTTATTTAAAATTAGAATAATAAAGATTTTTTTTTTCTAATCTACATGTATAAATGTACAAATAACTATTGTCTATCACCTCAAATTTACATATAAAATTAATAAGAACAAATAACTAACAAGCGTTTAACAACTCAGTTCGATTACATCGATAAGTATATTTTGAGAAGGTTTATATTTAGTTATATTAATTATATTAATTTTGTTTATTAGTTTGTTTTATATTTATTAGTACGTGTCACAACTTAGTTATTATTCATATTATTTCTTATATTTAATATTTTTTTAAACCTTTATCTTGTTCTTTCAAATGTTCTTAACAGTAGATTTGTCAAAAAAGACGTAATATAAAATATAGAATTTTTCGATCATCTGCCTCATTATATATCAAATATTTGTATATCCTATATTATATTATATTTAATTAAAATTTTTAACTAATATTTTAATTAAATATTTACAATTCATAAATTCATTAATAATATTGTCGAGTCAACTTTTGTTCATAAAATTTTTAAAAATATATTATTTTCATTGATTTGCTTATGTTGAATTGAGAAAAATTATTTTTTTTTAATTACATATCGAGAGGATATAAGATATCTTATATTTTTTATGTAGTATTTATTGAGTAATTGAGTTTACAATTTTTCTATTAAAAATATATTAAACACGTGAACTTTTTAGTTCCTATATTTTTTTATTTTTTTTCATAAATCACTCAATATTTTATCCAAGATTACCTATTAATTTACCAATTGAGTTACAATTCTTATATATTAAATATTATATAATTAAAATATTTCATGATACTTATATATTATATTAAGAAAACTAATATAGTAAATAAAAAAGTTATATAAAATTAGAATAATAAAGATTTTTTTTTTTTAATCTATATGTATAAATGTACAATTAACTATTGTCTATCACTTCAAATTTACAGATAAAACTAATAAGAACAAAAAACTAACAAGTGTGTAACAACTCTGTTCGATTACATTGATAAGTATATTTTTAGAAGGTTTATATTTAGTTATATTATATATATTATTTTTTTATTAGTTTGTTTTATATTTATTAGTACGTGTCACAACTTAGTTATTTTCATATTATTTCTTATATTTAGTATTTTTTTAAAACTTTATCTTGTTCTTTAACATGTTCTTAACTGTAGATTTGTCAAAAAACACATAATATAAAGTATAGAATTTTTTCGATCATCTGCCTCATTATATATCAAATATTTGTATATCCTATATTATATTATATTTAATTACAATTTTTTAATTAATAATCTAATTAAATATTTACAATTCATCAATTCATTAATAATATCGTCGAGTAAACTTTTGTTTATAAAATTTTTAAAAATATATTATTTTCATTGATTTGCTTACGTTGTATTGAAAAAATTTATGTTTTTTTAATTATATATAGGGAGGACATAAGATTTCTTATATTTTTATGTAGTATTTATTGAATAAATGTGTTTATATTTTTTCTATTAAAAATATATTAAACACGTGAACTTCTTAATTCCTATAATTTTTTTTTTTCAGAAATCACTTATTAATTTATTCCAAGATTACCTATTAATTTACCAATTGAGTTACATTTCTTACATATTAAATATTATATAATTAAAATATTTCTTGTTTTATCTGTTCAATATGATACTTATATATTATATTAAAAAAACTAATATAGTAAATAAAAAAGTTATTTAAAATTAGAATAATAAAATTTTTTTTTTCTAATCTACATGTATAAATGTACAAATAACTATTGTCTATCACCTCAAATTTACAGATTAAATTAATTAGAAAAAAAACTAACAAATGTTTAACAACTCAGTTCGATTACATCGATAAGTATATTTTTAGAAGGTTTACATTTAGTTATCTTAATTATATTATTTTTGTTTATTAGTTTCTTTTATATTTATTAGTACATGTCACAACTTATTTATTATTCATATTATTTATTATACTTAATATTTTCTTAAAACTTTATAATCTTGTTCTTTCACATGTTCTTAACTGTAGATTTGTCAAAAAATACATAATATAAAGTATAGAATTTTTTCGATCATCTACCTCATTATATATCAAATATTTGTATATCCTATATTATATTATATTTAATTACAATTTTTTAATTAATATTATAATTAAATATTTACAATTCATAAATTCATCAATAATATGTCGAGTCAATTTTCGTTCATAAAACTTTTAAAAATATATTATTTTCATTGATTTGCTTATGTTGAATTGAGAAAAGTTATGTTTTTTAATTATATATAGGGAGGATATAAGATTTCTTATATTTTTTATGTAGTATTTATTGAGTAATTATGTTTACAATTTTTCTATTAAAAATATATTAAGCAAGTGAACTTTTTAGTTCCTATATATTTTTTTAATTTTTTTTTAAGATATCACTCATTAATTTATCTCAAGATTACCTATTAATTTACCAATTGAGTTACATTTTTTACATGTGAAATATTATATAATTATAATATTTCTTGTTTTATCTGTTCAATATGATACTTATCTATTATATTAATAAAACTAATATAGTAAATAAAAGAGTTATTTAAAATTAGAATAATAAAGATTTTTTTTTCTAATCTACATGTATAAATGTATAAATAACTATTGTCTATCACCTCAAATTTACACATAAAATTAATAAGAACAAAAAACTAACAAGCGTTTAACAAAGTAGTTCGATTACATCGATAAGTATATTTTTAGAATTTTTATATTTAGTTATATTAATTATATTATTTTTGTTTATTAGTTTATTTTATATTTATTAGTACGTGTCACAACTTAGTTATTATTCATATTATTTCTTACATTTAATATTTTTTAAAACTTTATCTTGTTCTTTCACATGTTCTTAACTGTAGATTTGTCAAAAAAGACATAATATAAAGTATAAATTTTTTTCGATCATCTGCCTCATTATATATCAAATATTTGTATATTCTATATTATATTATATATAATTACAATTTTTTTAATTAATATTTTAATTAAATATAATAAATTCATTAATAATATTGTCGAGTCAACTTTTGTTCATAAACTTTTTAAAAATATATTATTTTCATTGATTTGCTTATGTTGAATTGAGAAAAGTTATGCTTTTTTTAATTATATATAGGGAGGATATAAGATATGATGCCATTATTATATTATCAATTTGCCATTAAAAACATGTGAAAATAAGAGTTTTTTAGGTAGTTCATTTTTTAATTAAAAATATAAATAAAATATGATGTGTATTAGTGTATTACTAATTTGCCATTAAATTTATGTCAAAGTAAGAGGTTTTTAGGCATTATGAATTTTTACAAAAACACTCCCCTTTTAAAGTAGTATAGATATAGATAAATTTATAATCTATATCTATTTAGATTTAAAAAAAAATAAAAAAAATAAAACTTTTTAGAATGATTAATAGTTTATTTCTGATGACAACAAATTATTATTATTATTTTTTTTTTTCTAAGAAGAAGGATCAAATTTGAAAGTGGCATCATAAGATGGCTCGATACAGATAGTTCTTATTGTAACGAAACAAAGTTACTATATATACATACATTCATATTCTTTTAATATTTCTTATCATTATTTTTTTTGTAAGTTCGCTTTCATTTTTTTTTTTTTAAGAATTCATGATAATTTTATTTAAAATTTTAAAATTATAATTTATTTATTATCCGTGCTTTTATAGTTTCATTTTATTTAAGCTTATGATTACTTTTCCATAGTTTAATAATTCTATAGTTTTTAAATTTTTAAAATATTTTTATAAAAAAAAAAATATTTTTATCGTTATCAATTAGAATATATTATCTATAAATTATTCGTATAAACAATTAAAATATATTTTCTAAAAACTATCAATAAATTAAACGATAATTATAGTTTCAACTGAATTTTCTTTATTTTAAATTATAAGCTTTATGAATTTTGATAAGTGGTATAGTTTGTTAAGCCTAGCCACTTCGTCCCAGCAGCGCACAACTATCAAGCCACAAAGAGATTCAAGCCACTCTCTCATAGTAGCTTGCACGATTACTCTTTCTGGCATCTAAACTTTTTGAATGACCAAGATATCACGGGCTTTCCAGAGCGGCCATAAAATGTATAATATAGAAATTTGATTGCGTGCCTCTGAACCAACAGAATGGTCAATAGAGATGACCCACCGGCTAAAATAATGTTTGTAGGAAGACTTTGTTGGGTTTTATGAGGAACATCGTCCTTAGTTTTTAGCGGCTAGTTGGGGCCTAACGTCTAGACGGGGAACTAGTCGAAATAGTAAAAATATTAATAAATTTATTAATATTTATTTTTATATATAATTTTTAAGTTACATTATATAAATTATAATAATTAACATGGTAAAATACAAAAAAAAAAAAAANNNNAAAAAAAAAAAAAAATATATATATATATATATATATATGTGATATATTCGTAACTATTTCAAAGATTGCTCATAACTAAAGATCTTAGTTCTTTTTGTAGCCTGATGTTGTCGCACCTGGTGACTTTATCCTTGCTGCATATCCACCATTGGATGACTATACGAAGATCAGGGGCAGGGATCCGCCTGGCTTTGCTTTATTATCGGGCACATCCATGGCGTGCCCTCATGTTTCAGGACTCGCCGCACTTATCAAATCGCTGCATCCCACATGGAGTCCATCTGCTATTAGATCAGCTATAATGACGACAGGTTACGTGATATGGATTATAAATTATTATTCTTAAGCATATATCATTTGTAATTAAATGTGCATGGCTCCATAAGTCGTGACATCTTATGACTCATAGCAAAACTTTACCACGACAAAGTGTAATTGTTGATGGAATATGTCTAATTTGCAGCAATTCAAACCAACAATCTACAAGGCCAAATTAAAACAAGTGAAGGGATAACAGCCACCCCTTATGACGTTGGGTCAGGGGAAATAAGCCTCACGGCTTCACTACAACCAGGGCTTGTGTACGAGACCGAAAACTCCGACTATTTTCAATTCCTTTGCAACATGGGTCACAACACGTCTACAATTCAAACCATGGCGTCGAATTATATCCCTCACAATTTTTCTTGTCATTGTGATTCGCGTCCTGATTTGATCTCCGACATGAACTACCCTTCAATAGCCGTTTCCGGATTGAAAGCTGATGGAAAATCAAAGACGGTGAAAAGAACGGTAACAAATGTTGGCGAACCATACTCGACCTACACTGTATCCATTGAAGCTCCAACTAGTTTGGAAGTTCAAGTGGTGCCAAGTACTCTGCTGTTCACCAAACATATTAACAAACTATTCTTTTATGTGACATTTAAGATTAATACTTCGTCGGCTGGTGAGAAAGACTCGTTTGGTTCGATCACATGGGTAAGTTCAAAGCACAAAGTTTGGAGCCCATTTGCTGTGAGCAAGGCTTAAAAAAGGCTTAAAGAAGTTGAAATATATATAATATAGAAGAGAGGAAAAGTGATGAAAATTAAAGTAATAATTGTTATACATTACGACTTTCTGATTTGGTTAGCTTTTTCGAAAGTGCCTTTTATAACTATTGATATAGATACTGTGTTGAGTCGCGCATGACACTCAGTTACTGATTTGCTTAGTACAAACTCTCATGCGTTACATACATAATTGTTAAATTTATATATTTATTTATATATATAATTTTATAACAATTATATATAAAACACTTTAATTTAAAATTAGGAATTATTTTATAAAAATTATATTATTAGTATGTTACTATTCACTGTTATACGATGTTAGTATAAAAATATACATAAAAAAAAAATAACATTATCTACAATATGTCCAAATAATAATATTATGTACAACTCTATAAACTTCATTTCCAATATTTGAAAAATCATTGTAACCTTGATTACAATTTAATTATATATGGTCAATAGAGATGTAATGTCTCTCTCTTATCTATTATTTTTCAAGTATGATGATCACATGTCTTGTAATAACTCAAAAATTAGAAATAACAACTTCCAATTGTAATATACAATTAAACTCTTCTAAGTGTTTTCAAAATATAATCTATAACTAAACTAACATTTAGTCAAGTGATAAAATATATAATAAGATAGTAATATTCACTTTCCAGTTCATACATTCTAATATGGAAATGGAATAATTCGAAATGGTTGGCTATCAGTTTACTTGGGCTAACAATAGAGAAGTAGAAGGGTTTGTAGAGGCTAAGCTAGATAGAGACTTTGGCTCTTTGGATTAACTGAGGAAATTCCTAAATGCAATAATCCTCAATGAAGAAAATGTGCCTCTGATCACTCTCTTTTCTCGGTGGACTCGAGAGAATGAGCAGGAAGATGAGACAAAAGATTCCAGTTTGAAAAAAGGTGGTTGAAAAAAGAAGAAATTGAGGAGATTGTAAAAAAGGAGTGGAATGCTACAATGAGTGGGACTCTAATGTTTATAGTAAAGGAAAAAATCAACCACACCAGGAAGGCCCGGTTGACTTGGAGCTCAAAGGTCAAAACTCCGAATCAAACAAAGATAGCATAACTAAATAAGAGATTGGAGGATTTGATACAGGAGGATTGAGACACTAACTTGGAAGAAAGGAAGAACATTAGGAAAGAATTGGAGGCAACTCACAGTTATGATGAAAGATTCTAGAAACAAAAGGCCATAAACCTTTGGCTCAAGGAAGGAGATAGGAATACCAAGTTTTTTCATGCAATAACAATTTAGAGAAGAAGGTCCAATTCCATTACCAGACTGGTAACTGAAGATGCCCAAGTATGTCAGACTCTAAAAGATATTGAAGAGCATATGTCTCAGTTTTAGATTAATATTTTTACTTCTGAGAGGACTTGAGGAGAAGAAAGCTTAGTGCAACTAATACCCATGGCTATAACTATAGAGATGAATGAGGCTTTTGAGGAACCAGTGAAGGAGTAAGAGATCAAAGCTGCCCTAGTCAGTATGCATCTTGAGAAAGCACTTGGGGAAGATGGTAGGACAACATCCTTTTATCAACATTTTTGGTCTTTAATTAAAGATGATTTGGTTATGGTTGTGAAAAGTTTCTTACAATCTAGGAATTTGCTTCAATATTGGAACTATACTATCATTACCTTTATTCCAGAGGGATAAGACATATCCTGTTCGGTCTATTTCTTTATTTCCCCATGAATCATATGCTTGTAACAATAGGGGCTAAACCAGTATTCTAATTTGCAAACTAGCTTGTCTTCTTCTTCAGGCGAGATCAACTTGTTCATTTTTATTCGGTGCTCCAGGTTGGATTGGAAATGGTGTATGGAAACCTAGAGTATCTGAGCCAATATAGACCAATTACTTTGTGCAGTGTGTTCTATAAATTTCTTTCAAATATTCTTGCTTTGAGAGTCAAGAACTGTATGAATCATATGCATAAGTGACTGCCAAGTTGCATTTATTCAATGGAGACAATTAATGGATAATATCATCATTGCACATGAAACATTTTATTTCTTGAATAGGCATAGAACGGAAAAGAATTTCTTTATGTTCTTGAAGCTAGACATGATTAAAGGTTACGACATAGTTGAATGGTCTTGTGTCCAAAGGATATAGGGTTTAGTTTGCAATGTGTAAATCTGATCATGGCTTGCATTTTTTCTACAGCATTTGCATTTAACTTGAATGGAACATCTGAAGGTTTTGTCAAACCATCAAGAGGGTTGAGACTAGTGGATCCAAATTCCCCTTTTCTTTTTCTAATGGTGTCTGAGGTGCTATCTACCTTAAATCTCATCAGGTAAAAATAGACTGTTCTCTAGTTTGAAATTAACTAGGGAGACTTACTGTTTGTAGATGACTCTTTACTTTTCAGTAAGGCATGAACGGATCAAGCTTTGATGTTGCTCAACATCCTGGAATGATATAGACTTTTCACAAGTCATAAAGTGAACTTGGAGAAATCAATCATCTTTTTCAGTAGGAATACTCTAGATCACATTAAAGCTAGCATTCGTGGGATTCTTCAATGAATTAAGATTCACACATATACCAGGTATTCAATCCTTCCACTAGGTATTGGAAAATCAAAGAGAGAAGCATTTGCTTTGATTCGGGATAATGTGAGATCAAAACTGCAAAGTTTGAAGAACAAACGGTTACCTTCAGCAGGCAAGGACGTTCTCTTATAGGCTGTCTTGTATTCACTACAAGTATTTACCATTTCAAGCTCCCAACTTCTCTATGCAAAAAATATCCAATGTATGTGCCCAGTTTTAGTGGAATAAAGGGGAGGTCATGCAAAAGGGAATTAATTGGAAGAAGTGGAGCCTTGTGACTCTACCAAATGTAAATGAGGGCTTTGATTCTAGGATGTCAAATTGATGAATCTTTGATTTGCAAGCAACTGTGGATAATAACAACTCAAACTGAACTCCTGGTCAGCGAAGTATTGAAAAGTAAGTATTTCTTAAATTCTTCAATTGTAGAAGCTGAGAGAAAACAAAACGCATCTTGGTTATGGCGGAGTTAGATGGAGATTATCTCAGTCTTTGCTAAAGGTCTGAGGGTGTAAATAAAGAATGGGTTGACAATAAAAATCTATGATATTAAGTGTGTGTAGCTCTTTCCAATAAAAAAACCAGACCTTCTAGAGATAGCTAGAGGCCATCTGATTAAAGTCAAGGATTTAATGACAGAAAATGGTGTTAGCTGGACATTCAGTGAGTTGTACAGTAAGGCAATCCTTCGGATCAAGACTCTAAATCCTAACCTGGAAGACAAATGGAAATGGGCTCTGGGTATGTAAGGAATATTTTCAGTCCCTGCACCTTATACCCATTTGATAGAACTGAAAGTGCAGGTCCTAGATTTACCTGAAGGGAGTTGCAGAATTGTTACACAAAGTTGTGTTTGAATTACAACGGGAGCCTATGAACTTACTGAAGAATTCAGTTCGTACAATATGAACTAAACAAGAAATGTAAAATACAACTCGAATGCTGACAGATTAAAGCCGGGGCGATTGAAATTTTTCTGCAAGACAAATACGCCCCGTAAAGTGCTGACGGATTTGTGCGTAATGTTCCCAAAGATACAACGGTTATACACTCGGAAGCTGTAGCATACCAGTCTTCAGAGTTCCAGCAAACAGGAATAAAGACGAGAACTGAGCACTATGTATGCGTGAGACTATGAGAGATGAGAGGGTTGAGAATACAGATGAGAATTCCGTGTCTCGTTTAGTCTACTTTCCTCTACAACTCTATGTCCTCTTTATAGGACTTCCACCTAGGTGGGGGATGACTCTTCACTTTGTAACCATTAAGCCATTAAAGGTCATTCATGGCTGGTTTTGATGACTATTCAAAACTTATAACCACCAAGCCATTAACAACCAATCATGGCTTGTAACCACCAAGCCATTAACATTCATTCATGGCTTGGTTTTAATTGCAAAATGTTTCAGGTTTAACTCACTATTAATTCACCTCATAACTCTTGAAGCCGTTATATGGTTGAAAGGTCACACATCCAGGTTCAATGTACCTGGAACGATGTCACACGGGTTGTGTCGAAACCCGAGTCCAAAATCAACTCGGTTTATCATAATATAGAGAATTAATATAACTGATTTGGTACATAACTTTGTTATTGTTGTGACCTTTCCAACTCTCTTTATCATAATATAGAGAATTAATATCATTTAAGAGTTAGAGAATTAATATCATTTAAGAGTTCTATGTGGGATAAGACTTTTAACCATTCGAATCCCACAACCATCGTTTTGCGTGCCCATTTATGGTTAACATTTATTTCTCTCACCGAAAATCAGTATTGAGAAATTAAATATACCACGAGTTTCTACTCGGAACGTAGAATTTTTTCTACACAATTTAATTCAATCTGAATTAAATATTTAGCCATCAACAAATCAGTCAAAATCGGGTCATACCCAATTTTATATTACTGATTTTCCAACAATCCCCCACATGAGTGGAAATCAAATGTATGCATGTATGCAAACTCTTGTGTTCATTCCTCACAAGACTCTATTGCATCAGAAAAGGTAGCTTGTGGCTTTGAACCTTTCTTAGTAAACATCATCGGATGTACTAGCGGCTTAGTGGACATAGTGTCTTGAACTATTCATCCATAGTGTACACCAAGACAATGACATTCACACAATCCTTAACTCCATTCTGTTCTATTATTGTGTCCGTTTTGGCCATGGAAAACACTTTGGATTCGTAAGTGTTTACAATTGAAGCGGCCCTCACTTCACACTTATATTACTCGACCTTTAAAAGGTTAGAAATTCATTAAAAGTCCAGATGACTTACTCTCACCACAATCAGTAGGTAATTTTGAAGTTGGATTGCTTTTAGGGAATAGATTTGGACATTCTAATGTTCCAAGTGCTCAGCTGAATTTTCATAGTTTAGTTT